CCCTATATCTCTAAACCCTAAACCATACTAAACCCTAGACCCTAAGCTTTAAACCCCAGAACCCTAGAGCCCTTAGAAAACCCCGAGAGCCCTCGAACCCAGGAGCCAGGTGAAGCCGAGCAGGGTTTGGAGTTTGGGGTATTGTGTAAAGTAGAGACTTCCCGCAGTTCTATAGTTCAAGGGTCCCGAGCTGCTTTCGGACTCCAAGGATAATAGCTGTGGGCTAAGTACGCGTCTTCAGGGTTGGGGGTTTGGGGTCGTCGGGCTTATGTTTACATGTTACTCGTTAAGTTAAGGCTGAGGTTTCAGTTTCTTTTCAGTGGTTTCAGCCGCCGTCGGGTTACAGGCTTGTATGCGGGTTCAGTAATTATTTCTTTAAGTATGGAATCTAGTACACAAACCGCAACTTTAAATTTGCTACCTAAGCCCGAACACCCCAAGCTCGAGACACTTCCTGCGCGCATCTCAGTGGGCTCGGGTCTGGTGTTGATGCTTCAGAACTTGAGCTTTTTTGTGTTCATCAAATAGTTTGTACGTGGTTTCGTGGTCTACTATGTAGATAGCTCATTTCGTAAGTCATACTGCACTTGCATCCCCGATCTTTTCCCTTTCTAGGAAGTGTATCCAGGAATGTGCTAGTTCCTTGTGTACATGAGTTGATGCAACCTGAACGAAACATTCCGGTCCGTTTTCGAACGCTTTAGGTTCTCTAGGGCTGCCATGGAGGATGACAGCCTTTGCATATCCTGTGTGGGGTTGAGACGGGCTGCTGACCGTGCCGCTGCTAGTGCAGTAGCCGCCGAAAACGAAAGCAGCGACGAGAGTCAGTTGATATCATCCTTGCATCCCAGGAAGTGTAGGAAAGTCGGTCCCTCGCACACATCTAGTAGCAGTGACGCTGGCTCTTCGCCATCGTTGGAGCCTGTGTTCGTTTCTGGGCGACGGGTGGCTTGGAACGTGTTTGACTTGCGACCGGTCTTCGAATATATGGAACGGTTCGTGGATGCTGCTTTGGAAATCAAACAATCGGACCGAAAGCTGAGTTGGAAGGCTTCTAGGCGCAACATGAACTTATCGACAATGTTACTTTGCGTAGTGTTCTGAGCCCGATATTACCCAGCCCCGAGCGGAATCTAAGGATGTGCACGTGTTTTCAGAATTTTCTGGCTATCAGACAGCAGAACTTGCAGCACATCAGACAGCAGAACTTGCAGCACAATCCGTCCTGCATCACGTCGGTGAGTTTGTCGGCAAGAACTACACTTCCGCTGACAAAAGCAAATCCTGCTTGCAGATGATGCTTGAAAACGCAGACGGGAGCACAAAGCTCAGGACTGCATCACACGCTTCTGTTGATCATTCAGCAGCTTACTGTTTGTCCAGTGTGCTCTACTTTCACGTGCGACGCTAGGTTATGCAGACGAGTGTGTGTTCGGTGACATCATGGACATGGTGCCCCCAGAAGTTGCAGAAGCGATGAACGGAGCCCGCCAGTGTATATCGATCACGAGTGGAGATGTCCGTGCAGCTGTAAAAGGCGACATCCGACAGGCAGTCTCACGAGAAGGACGTTTGTTGCTTTCGATTGGTGAAGCCAAACGCGGCTTAGTTCTTCTTGGCTTAACTGACGACTCTTCCGGAACTGCTGCTGAGCGTTTTGAACGAGCTGTTGTTGCGCTGCAGGCCACCAGCACATAATAACCCGCGCATGAAATGCTCTATTTTTTGACTCACAACAGTCCCGACCAGGCACTACGCGACAATGGCTTGGCCACGGCTCGCCTCTCCCTCCATTTCCTTCGAAGGTGGCTGTGAGCATGCGGTTGTAGATTGAAGGTTCCAGGGCATGTGTGTGCGTTTGAAGTTTACGGGCTTGGGGTCTGGGTTTGGGGGTCTGCGTTTCGTCGCTTGGTTTTGCGGTAAGCTATGCAGGGTATACTCTGTTCGGCTTTGCTGTTCAGGGTTTGTTTCATCATGTGAGGGTTCGTGATCCAGCCCCTGCACTTTGCTCGCGCTTTTTACCCTGCTATAGCCTTTACGGCTTTAGGTGTCGGGTCTTGATTTAGGGTTGGGTTTTGCCTCGTCGGTAAGGGTGGGGGCCGTCTTTGAGCAAAACTTGATGGTGGCGAGCTAGGTTTGAGGGTAAACGGTTCACGTCTGGATTAATGGTTTTGTTTGACTTGAGAGACTGGTCACCCCAAAAGCTAACCTCAGCCTACACCGCATCCCCACCCCAACACACCCCCACAAACCCAAACCCCACACTGCACGCCCACCCACCCCCACCCCCACTCCACCAACCCACCCCACACCCTCACTCCCACCCCAACCCCCCACCCCCACCCCCCTTGGGCCTTTTGCGTGGCTTGTCGGCTGGCGGGGCGGTGGTGGCACAAGTGGTGGCGCAAGTGGTGGTGCAAGTGGGTGGTGGCGCAAGTGGTGGCGTGGAAAGGTGTTGGTGCACAAGTTTTGGTGTGCAAGGCGACTTTGTGGGTGCACCGCCCGGTGGTGGCGCAAGTGGTGGCGCAAGTTGGTGGTGGCGCAAGTGGTGGCGCAAGTTGGTGGTGGCGCAAGTTGGTTTTGGTGGCGCATGTTTGGCGCAAGTTGGTGGTGGCGCATGTTTGGCGCAAGTTGCTCTTAAATAAGAGGCGAAACTTGCGCCAAACATGCGCCACCAAAACCCACTTGCGCCAAACATGCGCCACCACCAACTTGCGCCAAACATGCGCCACCACTTGCGCCACCACTTGCGCCACCACCAACTTGCGCCACCACTTGCGCCACCACCGGGCGGTGCACCCACAAAGTCGCCTTGCACCCAAAAACTTGTGCACCAACACCTTTCCACGCCACCACTTGCGCCACCACCCACTTGCGCCACCACTTGTGCCACCAACACTTCCCTGCCGAGTTCGGGGGTTGGGTGTGGCTGGGGCCGGGGTGGGGTCGGGGCTGGGGCAGTGGGTCGCGGCTTTCTTTCTCTTGTTCGTAAGAAGTAGGAACACAAACCGCTTTTGTGTACATCAACTGTACATCTCTAAAGTTCCCTCGTGACCGTGACTTTGTTCCCCGTTGTCCGCGCCCATTTTCGCCAGGCCCCAAACCCGGCTGATGCTCATGATGTTGGCCTGCATCCGAGCCCGTGGCCCACCTGATGCTCATGATGCGCGCGCCTGGGGCCGGCAGACCCGGGCTGATGCCCATGATGCTCGCTTCCGGTGGGGGATTTGTGTTTTTCCCTTTGCGAGCTCAGAAAGGGAAAAACGATTATTGGGTGCCACGGGCTCTCAGGCGAAGACTTTGGCAAGCTTACAGGGCGTGTAAGGCTTTAGGGCTTAGGGGTTTCGGGTATAAGGGGTTTCGGCGCTCACACTCGGACAATCAGGGGTTTAGGGTTTATGGCTTTTGGCGTTGAGGGCTCTGTGTCGGCTGTTTGCTTACTTTCCTAGATTTGTGGAGCCCACTGTAGAGCCATTTCTGGCTGGAGTTTTGGGGAGTTGGGTTGCTTCGTTGTTTGAATATACGCATAACATGTAAAGCCTTCTCCGACTGATTCCCTAGCACCCAAACCGGGTTTTGGGGCTCAGGCTCACAGGAGCATCATGCGCATCAGGTGCTCTCCAACGAAACACCAGTGAGGGCACTTTCGGGGGCCAGTGAGGGCACTTTCGGGGGCCAGTGAGGGCACTTTCGGGGCCAGTGAGGGCACTTTCGGGGGCCAAGGGCACTTTCGGGGGCCAGTGAGGGCACTTTCGGGGGCCAGTGAGGGCACTTTCGGGGGCCAGTGAGGGCACTTTCGGGGGCCAGTGAGGGCACTTTCGGGGGCCAGTGAGGGCATCGGGGGGGGGGAGGCAGTGAGGGCACTATCCTTGATGAAGAGTCCCGAACTGTTGGAGAAACATGCAATGGAACTCTACTAGAACTACGAGACTTGTTCCTTAAGACCGACACCTCATGCCACCTAATTTCCTGTAAGCCCCCACCCGCGTAAACCCGATTAGGGTTTAGGGTTTAGGGTCTATAGGGGTTTAGAACTATCCAACGAATCGTCGCCCAGGCTGCACTACGATGAGGTGGCAGAGCTTCTGTTTCCGGCTGACGTGCAACTATACGAATACTGCACGTGCAAGAAGCACAGGCGGTCTTGTCGGAGGCTGCCGTTCCGGGGAGATGGATCACAGGTAACGGTTTGTGTAGCTGGATCCCCATGTCCGGATTGGAGCCAGTTCGGAAAGCGTGCTGGCGACAGCGGGGAATCTGCTGGGGCATTCATGGTCTGGACACTTGGCCCATGATTCTACGACTAGCCGTATAGGTTTGAGTTTCCGCACAGACCGTCCTAACAGTAGAACCAAACCCTAGGCCCTATAAACCCTATAGCCCAATCCCTAGGCCCTAAACCCTAAAGCCCAAACCCTAGGCCCTAAACCCTAGAGCCCAAACCCTAGGCCCTAAACCCTAAAGCCTAAACCCTAGGCCCTAAACCCTAAAGCCCAAGCGCTAAACCCTAAATCCTAAAGCCCAAACCCCAGGCCCTAAACCTTTAGCCCAAACCGTAGGCCCTAAACCCTAAAGCCCAAACCCTAGGCCCTAAACCCTAAAGCCCAAACCCTAGGCCCTATTTCTAAAGCCCAAACCCTAGGCCCTAAACCCTAAAGCCCAAACCCTACCCGAGGCTGAAATCCATTCGGCAAGGGCGCCCTAAACTCGTGATCCACGAGAACGTCAAGGGCTTCCCGGCGGGCGTGTTCCGTACATTTCTAGGACAGCACAAAGCCTCCATGATCATGGGTATGCACGTTTGTCTGCAAACGGTGAGCACCACTGGCTCACATTTTCTTGCGATCAGGAGGATGCTACGATATCGAAACCATCTCGATGTCGCCCTTGGAATATGGATTTCCAGTGCAGCGAGATCGACAGTACACGTTGTGTGTCAGGCGGGATTCCGTGACGCGACTTGGTGGATGTTGCTTATGGCCCATGTGTGTCGACCTATTCCTTCAATTGTTTCGGTCGCCTGGTTGCTGAGGCTTTGCAGATCGCTTTCAGACTTCAGGGAAGATGTGCGAAAACGGTATGATTGGAACTTTGGACTCGAGCCGGGCAGCTTTGTCTTCACAGACGGAGGGCAGGCTGAGATTAGCAAGCTGACTGAGCCCATGCTCCAGAACGAGAGGACATATCGTGCCAAATTTCCCGCCGCAGTTGTAGCTGACCTTGCTCAAAACCCGGATCAAAGGCCACGGCATGGCGAGGATACTTTCTTCACCCTCACAACATACTGCAACAGAATTATGCACATGCCTTCCCGACACATATACTGCCCGATGCTGAGTCTGTGTGCAGCCTTTTTCCTCTTGGGCCTCTTGGGGGTCTGTAGATAGGTTTCCCCAAAGCACGTCTTTCCCACTTCTTCCGAGGTGGAGCAGAGCTAGCTGCGCTGCATGGGATGCCAGTGATTGATCAGTTTGCTTGGGATCTGGGGACCCGGACAATGCGCTTTGGAGAACTCACAGGGCCGGACTCGCGACTTTGCAATTGTGCTTCCTCTCTGCATCGTGTGATTCAGCTGTTGGAGCAGGTAGTGCAAGATGTTGTAAGCGGCTGCAGTTTAAGCGGCCATACCATGCAGACAACCTAGGTTGGAAACTCGATGCACTTCGCATGTGTTGGGCTGGTAATGACTGCTGCGCTCGTCTTGAGCTTGCCTGTTGCCGAAGATCAGATGTAGCTGCTCGTGTGCAGCAGGGCCTCCTGGGAAGAGGAGTTGTCGGCAGCAGCGAAAAAACGCCCAGCAGTGAACGGCAGCCGCTCGTAGATCATCCGCTGCCCCGGTGCGCATGAAAGTCTGTTTGATTGAGCAGATGCTGTTTGATTACAGTGCCAGTAAGGAGACAGTATATGTTCGCAGTCATGTGCGTTGTTGCAGATTGTGCCAATGCTTTGCCATAGCAGGAAGACATGTGCGTTTACAGTCATGTGTGCTGTTACACGCCTCTGTTCGTGACACTGGTTCGTTGCGTCGCAGTGACTCAGCGGCTCCGGTAGCCCGTAGACTGCTGTTGCACGTGCAAGTTTCTCGCTAGTTTTGACGTGATGCCAGCGTCCAAGAAACCAGATGTAGAAGAGCCGAGTTTGTCTGGCAGCAGCAGCGGCGACGACAGCTCAGCTTCAGACGACGAAAAATCCGTGCCCAAGGGCTCTGTTCCCAGTGCACCTCACACACCTGTGCCCAAGAGCTCTGCTCGTAGCAGGGCAGGAACACCTTCAGGATCAGCTGCACGCGTGCAGTCTGCTCGTCGCAGGGCAGGATCACCCTCAGAAGCGCACGGGGCAGCACTTGTCGCGACAGAGGCAGCTGAACCTGAACCCCGGAAAAAAAAGAAGCAGCCAACGCACATCAACAAGAAGGATGTGCCGCCCGAGACGGAGGTCAAGCCGATTCCTCAGTGAGTGTTTTCACCCTGTTGCACAGGAAGAGTAGTATGTCCACCTGCATCGTGTCAAGGCGTTCTGTTTGGCCCAGGTGTTGCCACTGCTTGCAGGTCGTTACTGCTGAACAGGCGGTTGTGCGGGGCAGAGCATGGGCCTGCAAACTATGCAACGGAGCAAGGGTGGCTTTGGAAAGACACTACAAGGATACAAACAGAGCGCACCTGTGGGCACATATGGGGCGCGAAGAAAAGAACAACACGATCGTTTCAAACAGGGGCAAAAGCAGAGGGCAAGGTAAGAAGTTCCCCGTCAAGATCGCCGAAGAGGCCACATGGTAATGTTTGGGTATGCGGCTGGGGTGGGGTGGGTCTTTTGCTTTGACTTACCGCTTGCTTGCCAAAATATTCTGTACTGTCAGGTGTCCAAAGAAGACTCGATCGCGCTGTCTCAGCAGAAGAATTGGGTCAACAAGTTGCAGTTTCGCCGAGAGGCGAAGAAAAGGTGGGGAATGAAAAAGGCTGAGGCAAGAGCAAAGTGGCAAGACTTTTTGGCCGACCCGAAGATGCCAAAAGGGCGTGATCAAATGAATTGGATCACTATGCCCTGCCTCCAGTATGTCCAGTGCTAGCCCCAGCAAGATAAGCATCCCGATGCTCAATTACGTCGTGGTGACCTTTTGCATTCGTGCTCTCAGGACCAAAGGGGCCCGCACGCTGAAGCACACTCAAGCCTTGAAGAAGTCAGAGGTGAAGAGCGCCACAGACGATGATCTGTTCGAAATGGCCCACGCAGGCCCTTGTCGTCAGTGAAGTCGGGAAGTTGGCACTTGCTCTGTGTATACTTGACGCCGTTCTCCTATTGCTGTGCCGGGTTTCCTGATGCTACTCTGTGCCGGAATCAGCATGACAGGGATGGATCAGGGCACTCTGCACCGTGACACCAGCATTTTCGATCGCTCCAGTGCCGCCCTTAGCAAACCCACCTCATCGCTGTGGTACTGCCATGCATTCTGATGCACTCCAAGGTATGCAGGACTTTTTGGAGTCGTCTTGCCTCGAGATGGGGCTTGCCGTCAAAGCTGGGAAGGCTGGGAAAGCCAAGGCCAAAAGCAAGTCCAAAGGGCTGCAGGGAGGCAAGCGCCCCCTGGACGATGGACTTGAGGAGGGTCAGAAGCACAGAGCTCAGTGCGATCATGACAGCGCCTGTGAATCTGCGAGCATTATGTTCTTGATTTGGATTGCCGGTTGCCATTGATTCGCCTTTTGAGGCCCAAGAAACATCGCCACCAGAATGCCCAGAGGGATGTGGACCGCATTGCAGCCCTGAGACAGCGACGGACTTTGACCGACAGCTTGGCCGCTTTGCGGACGAGTTTCAGCATGGACACTTAGACTTTTGGTGGTCGCTTGGAATGTTCATCGTCAGCTGGCGAGCTTGCTCAGGTCAACAAGCTGCTTACTTTCTTCAAGGAAGCGGGTCCGGCTTTGGCAACAAGTGCAGAGCCTGCTTTTGTCGCAGTTGATGAGCGTCTTGCCGCGTAATGGGGACATGTTGTTCGATATGTGAGGTGGCAGGTTTGGCTTGGTTGAACTTAATTTCCGTCCTGTGAAACCAGGAATGCGACCTTGCTGGTGGAGCAAACTGTTCGGATGATTCTGAACATGCCTGAAGATGTAGGGGATCTCGTGGATGGCATGGCAAACAAGCCGGAGGAATTTGAAGACGACGAATGCAGCCACGAAACCGCTCAAGCGATGCACAGGGCTGCCAATATGGTCTTGGATGCGTTAGAAGCAGAGAAAAAATTCCAGAAGAAAGACGTCAGCCTTCAACGGTCCCCGCGCAGCAACGATCTCTATCAGAAAGCGCCTGGACTATAGGTAGTGGTAGCCGTGTGTGGTACATTCGCAGTCTGCTTGGGTTGGCATGTTGTTCATGTCGTGAGCTACTGCTGGTGATAAGGCTTTCGGCGAGGAGTTCGATGCTACTTTGACACCGAAGGACCTGAAACAGTATGAGAAAAACATCACCCAGTTGATCTCGGCCTGCTACGTGGGCTTGGAGGGCTTGCAGAAAGCAATCAACGAAGTGCAAGCAGAGCGTGCTCCGGCTGCAATCATTTAAAGGACGGGAGGTGTTTTGGCACGGCATGCCTCACTGTAGGTGGGGGTATGCCGTCGTCTTCAGGTGATGCCGAGAACGCCAAAAAGGGTGACAACGACCAAAGTGGAGGCGATGGCGACGAGAATGGGGAATCTGAGGAAGAAAAGGAGGATGACCCCACGCTGCCGTTGCAGGGCCCCCTGCAATTACCGCAAGAAGCTGCCGGTTTCAAAAGCCCGCAAGGATGGCGCATCCTCGCAACTGGAGTGTCAATGTTGGGCGACAGGAAGAATTCAATTCGCTTCGTGAGCGTGCCGGGACGAGAGCTCCCGACGGTGCAGGAGTTGCGAGCTTGGGTGGGGCCATTCCTCTTCGACGGCCCCATAAAGATTGAGACCGAGAAGGATTATTCGGCCGTGATGCAGGAGTTCCAGCAATTCGCGGCCGACAAGCAAAAGCACTTGACCGAGCACTTAACCAAGATGGACATCAAGGGACCAAGGCCAAAGGAGCGACTCTTCGAAAAGGAGCTTGGTAATGGGCCTGGCACAAGTCTCCTGATGGAGTCCTTCCGGATTGCAGAGGAGTTCAGTGTCCAAGATCTTCGCAACCACAGCAACAGCAAGTCGCAGGACGAGGAAGTTTTCAGACGCTTGTTCTGCTTGCGGTTCAATTGTGCGACGCCTCTCCATCATATGGTCGGAATCTTGGCATGAACCGGGCGACACATTTAGTGAAGTAGTTTTTGGGACACATTTAGTCCAGTAGTTTGTTGGGGGCAAAAAGGGCGAGAAAACATGGTTTGTGCAATGACTTTGTTTGTTTAACAACGAACTTCCCGAAAATTGTTCTGTGCAATAACTTTGTATCTTTACCAGTGGTACTACTAGTACTCAAGTAAATAGTAACATGTGGGTGGAAAACCTTCCGCAACCGAACGGAGCGCCCTTAACTAGCATCCTCTTTTGGCCAGGCAGGGGCCGAGCATCGTGTGCATCAGCAGGTCTTTTTTGGGTTCAAACCTCGTCAAATTCAAGTCCAACGGATTTTAAATGTGCAATAACTTTGCATGTTTACCACGGTTCTGGTTTAACCACGAATTTCCTGACAATTGTTTTTGTACACATGTATGTCCTGCGGGCTTGCTTGCGCCAAGGAGTGAACGAGTGCATGCTGGGAAGGACTGACGCTGAGTCTGATCTCGTGTTGTGGGTCAGAGGGGTCAGAGGGGGCCCTCGCGCGCAGGACAGTATCGGTTCTGAGCGGCTGCCGGTTTATCTGCGGAGTGGGCTTGGCAGACTTAGCGGATTACGAGGAGAAGTTCAGCGCGCAGAACAACTCGGACTCCAGAAAATCCTTCGTCAAGCTCTGCGAGCTGCTGGTGTGTCTGGATGCAAGTGTTCTATTCGATTTGTCGGGCTGGATTGCGGTCTTGAAACCAGGGCAGGCTCTGCAGATCCCCCCTGGCCACCTTACCGCTGAGACCAACATGACCGAAACTTCCACAATGGCGGCCTGGAGCAGCATGCCGCTGCGTTACCCGCATATGGACATGGTTCTAGATTGGGAGCGACATTTGACATGTGCCCTTCACTTGTTGCAGTGTGACATCTCTTCTGGCAACTTCGAGAACAGCCGGTACTTGCTCAGCTTGCAGAACCACCTGACCGTGGGAAAGATGCAGCTTTTGCCTTGGGTCTCAAAGATGGGCATGACTGTGGAGCCGCCGGTGATGTCAGCCGAGAACGACAAGCCGACGACACAAGCACAGCCTGAGCTCCTTGAGGTGAAACAAGAGGAAGGGCCGGCCAACTCGGTAGACTTGGCTGGCCACGCGAGTGCAGCGGAGGCTGCTTCCGATGACGACGTCGTCTTTGTTTCGGAGTCGCGTGCGCAGGAGCCAAGTTTGGGGCCACTGGTCTGTCCGCCTTTCCATATCTCTATCCGTTGCAGTGTCCCAGACACGACTGTCATGAGCGAGTATGAGAAGAAGCGCGAAGCACATGCAGTTTCTAGATATGAATTCTCTTATCCTTGACTACAACTAAGACTTTGGCAGGAGAGTGCTGCAAAGATTCCACCGGCCCAGGACGGCGATATAATTTAGCAGCATTGAAGCAGCTTAGGGGCTTGGGCTTTGGGGTTTGGTTTAAGGGTTTAGTGTTAGGGGTTTAGGTTGCGGCCAAGCTTCGATATCAGTGTCAGTTGTTGCTTGTTTCTTTTTCTTTTTCGGGGGTGGGCTTTAGGCTTTGAGGCTGGTCTGTCCGGTTAACTGTTGCAGTGGCTCAGTGGTCCACACACGACATAAGTCAATTTTCTTGTTGCTGTTGTATTGGATGACTGTGAACGGAGAAATCCATGGCAGGACTTGGAGCACAAGAATCACGACACGGAGGTTCCAAGGGTGATCAAGGACCCATCAGAAAACATGGCAACTTTTCGTTTGCCTGCCACCAAAAGAGTATAGTAGCATCGATGATGTCATATCGCGGGTTGGGTTCTGTGTTCGATGACCTGATGACTGCGAGGATGCAGATGCGAAGCTTCCTGACACGCAGGTTGCAGCCGGGGCCAAGGACCCATCAGCTCGTTGTTTCAGTGGCTAGGAGGGGGTGGGGGGCTCTTGCAGTTTATCTGTGTTCGATGATTTATGACTGCGAGGATTCAGAGCCGAAGCTTCCGGACACACAGGTTGCAGAGGCCACGGAGGAGCTTGTTGTTCAAGTGGTCTTGTAGGAAACTGCATGTCACATCGACATTGGCGTTTGATGATTGCGAGGATTTAGAGGCGAAGCTTCCGGACACACAGGCTGCAGAGACGACGAAGGAGCTCGTTGTTCAGGTGGTCTTGGAAACTGCATGTCACATCGAGATTGGCGTTTGATGACTGCGAGGATTCAGAGGCGAAGCTTCCGGACACACAGGTTGCAGAGGCGACGAAGGAGCTCGTTGTTTAGGTGGTCTTGTAGGAAACTGCATGTCGTATGGAGATTGGCGTTTGATGACTGCGAGGATTCAGAGGTGAAGCTTCCGGACGCACAGGTTGCAGAGGCGACGAAGGAGCTCTTTGTTTAGGTGGTAGAGGGATTTGCGTCTGATTACTGCGAGGATTCAGAGGCGAAGCTTCCGGACACGCAGGTTGTAGAAGCGGCCAAGGACCAATCAGCTCGTTGTGTCAGTGGGTGCGTCAGAGTGGGGGTTGAACTTGTATTCGTTGGCTTGATGACTGCTAGGATTCAGAGCCGGAGCTCCCGCACACGCAGGTTCAGGTTCCGCCCGGGACGAATCATGTGTTGCCATCCTTGCTGGGTTCAACGAAATCGGTGGAGCTTCGGTTGCTGGGTTGCTGGTCAGACTCATAGCAGGTGCACGGGACAGAGGCGACACTCGTTTTGTCGAGAACAGAGGGCCGATCGATTTTGCACACCCCGCGTTGCTAGAAGTATCCCGCTCTTTGCTTCAGGATGCAGACATCGCCGGCCTCGAGAACAACGAGCCCAGAGAGCTGGCTGCAGCGCAGGCCGACTGGCCAGTTCAGTGATGACACTCCTTAAGATTTGTGTTGGCCTCATTGCGTTCGATTTGTTTTGCACTGCAGGCCGATTCCGGCGGCCGTGGTCCATTGACACCGCGTGAACCATGCGAAGCCACGAAGGCTTTAAACGAGATGAAGGAGCGACTGGCCGCGAAGTACGCGGCTTCTACGCCGCCGTCTTCTCGTGGCCAGATGGATCACACACCATCAACGTCGGCTAAAAGGATTGACCCCGTGGAGATTCCTGACGATGAGGAGGCAGAGGACAGCGATCGTACTATCCGTCCTGCTCGTGCTCGTGGCCGCGGCCGTGGTCGGGCGGCCAAGTCGGCCAAGGCGAAGGCAACAGAGCGTGCAAGGGCTCCGAAATCAGCAGCCAAGGCTAAGAGTAGGGCGGCTAGGAAGTGAAGTGCACCACAGCGCTGAGTGCTGAGCGTGACGCAGGGGGATGTACAGGAAGTGTATGTGTGGTCAACACTCGAGCCTCTCTGTGTTCAGTGTTCTAGTACTCACGACGAGATGTACAAGTGATCTCTCTCTTTATATGTGCAACGTTTGGAGTTTAAAGCTGCAGGAGCAGCGAGATTCGAAACCTGTTCGACGCACTGTTCGATGATCGCAAAAGAAGCTGACCGTGCCCAGAGCCGTCGAACCCGTAACATAAACTTTGAAGGAGTTCGAGTTTCGGCTTGGGCTTTATGTTTTGCGGCGAGGTTTTTCGGCTTTAGCTTCAGGGTTTAAACTCTAAAGCTTAGGAGGTTTACTGTTTATAGGGCGTTAACATGATTCAACCATGTAGCTGGCGCAATCTTGCGCCGCGGTGCCCTGCCGCTTGGCTTCACCAATACTAAGCTTGGCCTCAACTCCCAAACCTAACCGACAACCCTGCATCACAAACCGTGGGGCCCTGGGGTAAGGCTTTGTCCAGAAGGCGTGGGGATTCAGGTTTAGATTTTAGCAGGGTTCAGAGTTGAGGTTTCAGGAACGGAGAGGCTTCACAGCTTCGATTGTGGAGTTTGGGGCAGTTTTCAAGTTCGGGGTGTTCTTGTCAGAATTTTCGCAATCTACTTTTTGTGGTGCATCACGTTTTTTGTTTGGGCAGTTTCGAAGGGCCTCTGCTAGACCTTCGGGGTTTTTTGACCCCCCGCAAGCAACCCTACCCGCAGTTAACGGGTCTCACGCACTTCTATACGAGGGTTCGTTTGAACTTTGGGGTTTGGGTTGTTGAGGTTTTGTGGGAGTTTCCGAAAATTAGGGGTAACCTGTTTTGGGCTCCTTATAACAAGGATCCTAGTATGTAGGGTACCATATTAGGGTGCCTTATTTTCGGAAACTCCAGTAGCTACTCCCATGTTTCTAAACCCTAAACCCCTTATAGCACCCTTTTTGATCCCTTAAAGGAACCCTTAAGGGGTCCCCTATTTTCGGAAACCCGCATGGTCTCTTTGCGGAGCTTGCAAGGGCGCTTGCACTCCTGCACCGGCTTGATACGGTCGTGTAGCGGCTTCGTGGGCCTTCGCATGCAGGGGTGAAGGAACTTACTTAGGGTTAGGGGTTAAGGGTTTAGGGTTTCGAGGTTATGTTACCGGGCAAAGGTTTATGTTTCAGCGTTTAGGCACCATAACATGAAGATGCATGATGTTCATACTGGCTCTATGCAGTTACTGCACATGCTGTGCTTTGCCTCGCACCTACACCCTTACACAGAGTTCGTGAAACCCTAGAAAGCCCCGACAAAACCCTATCCAACCAAGGAGACTCTGTAGCACATCTAGATCGCCCGAATTGGACGCATCAGGAGATAAAGCAGCAGAAAGACCCTTATCACACCCATATAGTAATGTAGAACCCGAAACCCTAAAACCCTAAACCGAATCCTCTTATCACACCCGTATGGAACCCTAAACCCTAAGCCCTAAACCGAATCCCCTTATCACACCCATATAGAATTACAGAATCTAAGCTCCAGACCCTGCCTTGAGACACCTTGTGCCCGGAGCCCCAAATCCCTAAACCCATCGAAACCTTCTAAGACCTACCTTAACCACAAGTAACCTACCTTTAAAAGGACTTATATAAAGATATTAGTAGTACGGAGCCCTAAAGAGGTTCCGTAGGGTCCAGGTAAGCCCAAAACCCTAAACCTTGAACTCTAACCCCTAAACCCCGAGCCTTGAGCCCTAAACCCTAAACCTGGAAAGTGGTCCTCACAAACAGCTTAACCCGGAAAAACCACAAAAAGCAGGCCTGGGGAACCCTAATATCCTAATATAGTACCCCAAATAGAAGGATCCTTATAATAAGGACCCCTAAATAAGGCACCCCGAATCTTGACGGAAACTCCCAACGCCCTAAACCTAAACTCTATAGATCCCTTTTCGGAACCCTTAAAGGATCCCTTAAAAGATCCCTTTAAAGGTACCCCCCCAATTTTCGGAAACTCCCGTGTCGGAATGCAAATGGCAACCCCGTGCAGGCCCAGAACCTCGTCGACGGCCCGGGGCAGCGCGAGGCATCGGCGGCAGTGGCGGAGTTCCTCGAGCAGGCAATGACCCCCAAAAGGGAAAGGGATCTATAGGGATTCTATAAGGGTATAGGGTTTAGGGTTCATGGGTAGTATTCATTGTTATAGCATACTCCTAGTAGTAGAGTAGGTAGCCTTTAGCCTTTTTTGGGTAGTATAGTCCGTATGTAATGTGTATATGGCCAAAAGATTAACCTTTAGTTCCCCATGCTACCCGACAAGTAGGGCGATGGCACGTGCGATACTCTACTTCGAGGGTCGGCGGACTTAGTAAGTAGTTGACAAGTAGAGTTATACAAGTGCCCTAAGTGGGATCCTAACCGTGGTGCTTATAACTCAATAGGCTATATAAGTAGTCACTAAGCCCCTCCACCTTCCAAGTCAGACTCCTTCAAGCCAGGGTTCTTCTAAGCGGCCGAACGAGGTTCCTGTAAGGGGGGCTGGACCAGTTTAGGGTTGCAGGGCTCTAGGATTCCTTTAGGGCCTTGGGGTTTGGGATTTAGGGTTCTGGGTTTAGGATTTAGGGTTTAGGGTTTAGGATTCAGGGTTTATAGGGATTCGGGTTAAGGGTTTAGCGTCCTTTCTTGGGGGTCTACCAAGGGGCTAGGGCTCCTGCGAGGCGAGTTTCTTCGACAAAGCCCGGGCAGAAGCTTCATAGATGCCTTGAAATCCCTACAAAATCCCAGGCAACCATACAGAACCTAAACCCCTGAATCCGGAACCTTAATCAATACACCCAAAAGCCTAAGTGCTAAACTAACTTTTTTTAAAAAAAAACCTAACTCCCTGGAGAAAAGCCCTGGCAGGTGAAGCTGGGTGGAGCCTGCTATGGCCCGGAGCAGACATTGAGGGCACTTCGGCTGGGTGCGGTCCAGACCTTGCTGGTGGCCTCGTCTGTGGAAGGTCGGGACGGTTTGGGGCTCATGAGACGTTGTTTCAGGCCTTGGTGGTTTTATGGGTTTTCTACAATTGTGCCAGCGGCATGCGGCTGCGCCGACGACCACGACCACGAAACGACTAATGATGCTACTGACGAGAGCACTTTGATGGTCTTGTGACAATTTTGCAGCCATCCCGCGTCAACAATGCTCAACCCCTAACTCTACCTTCAGTCTCCATTGTAGTTCCTTTTGGTTTAACCAACTATCTATTAGTGATCCTATAAGGTAACCCCCAAAAAGGAACTACAAGGGAGACCATAGGTAAACACTACATCCCTAAACGCTAAATTCCAAAACTCTACACCCCTGACGCTCCCAAACCCTAGAATGTTGCAGGCTCCTGGTCCTGTGCTCTCGCGGATGCGCTGCAAGTTGCGGAAGCCCAGGGCGTGCGCTGCTTCACCATCTCGGCTGATTCTCAGGCCTTTTCCGGGTTCATGGTTTGAATGTGGGGTATTGGAATACATCCGAAACCCCTGATCCCCTAAGCCCTAAACCCCTGAACCCCTAAACCCTAAAACCCTAAACCCCTAAACCCTTATAAACCCTAAACCTGGCTGTGGGGTTCTTGTCGGGATTCGCGTGGTCATACTGAAGCGCAGGGTCTACTTAAAGGCTCATGGGACTTAGTAAGTAAGGTTAGAAGTAGGTTATCATTATATAGGATAGCCCCACTTAGGGGACTTATAACCCCAATTATAACCCACTTACTAAGTCCCATGATCCTCTAAGTAGGGTGCTTCAGGCTTCGGGGTTGCTTAGGAGGGCTCCCGGCTCAAAGGCCAACTCCAGGATCATTCGGAAGTACTCTTTGGGCCTAAATAATAATAGCTACCAACACATTTTTGGGGTTATATTTTTAGTATAATGGGCCCCAAAACCCTACTCTAACTTTTAAGGCCCTATATTATTTTACGTGTGGTAAATCGAGTTCGAAGCACCTGGCTCTTACCTCTTCTTCGGTTCTCAAAGGCCCCTACATTATGGACCCGGGTCCTCATCGCCACCTGTAAAGTGCCATGTGCGGGGGGGCTCTCCCTCAATTCCCTCCGGGAGGACTCTGTCCGATTCTGCAGCGCTTTCGGCATTGGAGGCTGGCTGCCGTGGAGTTTTTTGGATTGGGCCCCTCCCGAACCTCTAACCCTAAACCCCTTACTTAGAGGATCATGGGACTTAGTGACTAGGTTTTGAATTTGGGCTGACTATGCCTATGATTGCTTATAGCCCCGCTTAAGGTACTGATGACCATACTTACTAAGTCCCATGATCCTCCATGTAGACCCTACACCCTAAACCCTATAGATGCCTTTAAGGGACCCTCTAGATCCCTATAAGGACCCCTTCAAGGAACCATACTTCCTAAGTCCCATGATCGTCCAAGTAAGCCGCTTCGTGACATGTTGCCAGGGCTCCTCCGATGGGACCCGGCACCGGAGGTGCTAGAGGACCGTCTTCGGCCGGGTTTTAGGGCGTGTGCTATAGGTTTTATAATTGGGTTTTAGGGTTGAGGGTTTGGGTTTTAGAGTTTGGGTTTTATAATTAGGTTTTGTAGGTCTTATAATCAGGTTTCATAGGTTTTATAGGTGTGTAGGGCTTGTGTGTTCTTCAGGGTTCGGGTTTAGGGTTTAGGATTTAGGACTCTGTTGTGTTTTGGGTTTGTGATTTAAGTTCAGGACCCCAAATGCCTTAAACCCTGAACCCCTAAACCCTAACCTAAACCTTAAACCCCAAACCCCTAAGCCCCCAAACCCCTAAAACCCTTGAATCCTAAACCCTAAACGCCTAAGCTCCTAAACTGTAAACCCTAAACTCCTAAACCCCTAAACCCAAAAGCGAGGAGGAGTCGGATGTCGAGGTCCCCGAAGAAGTGCCCGGTGGCGGGGACGCGACACCCTCGACGCAGGCTGAGGCACTGCGGGGTCCGCTACGGGGGCTTAGGGTTCAGGGTAATTCGGGTTTAGTGAATTTCGGGTTTCTAGGGTTAAGGGTATTTAGGGTATTTGGTATCTAGGGTATTAAGGGTATTTAGGGTATCTTGGGTATTCTGGGTATTTAGGGTTTAGGGTATTTAGAGTATCTAGGGTTTAGGGTTTGGGGTTACACATAGGGGCCAGGTCTACACTTAGCAGGTATAGGGCTTAGGGCTTAGGGCACCTTAGAGAAGGAACTTAAGCACTATAGTTAGGGACCCCAAGAGCACATAAGCATAAGTTTATATGGGATATCCCTATCATATGTTTTGCCTATTTGCTGTTTTGGGGTCCTATATAGGCACTAGAGGATTTAGGGGGTTATTACGGGTTGAGGTTTAGGGATGTTTACGGTTTAGAGCTCCTTTAAACGAACAACAAGGGTTCCTATATGGGTGGTTGTCAAAATTCAGGTCCCTTTTGGGGTACCCTAAATAATAGGTGCCGTACTATAATCGGGACACAAAAAGGGACCACAATTTTGACAACCGCCCATTTGATCTAGAAGGGTATTACAAGGGTTTCTGGTTTAGGGTACTGGGGCTTCCAAGGCTTAGAGTTTTCGGGTTTAGGCTGGAAGCTGCCCCCACCCTGTAATGGTGACTTTCAGGATTATATTAGGGCCCTATTATATTCCTATTATGCCACTATTACAGGGTGGGGGCCGTGCCTAAGGTTCAGGCTGCCCTAAACCCTAAACCCTAAACCCTAAACCTTAAACCCTAAACCCTAAACCCTAAACCCTAAACCGTGGGGTTTGACATTTGAGGAGCCTCAAGATCCTCTTTAAGGGGTTTAGAGGGTGCAGGGTTTAGGGTTTGGAGGGGCCAAGGGGTCCTTATAGGGATCTATAGGGTTTCTTAAAGGGATCTATAGGGTTTCTTAAAGGGATCTATAGGGTTTCTTAAAGGGATCTATAGGGTTTAGGGTTTAGGGTCTACTTGGAGGATCATGGGACTTAGTAAGGTTTGGGGTATCGGTTTCAGGGTTTAGGCTTTTGATGGGGGGTCCTATCCCGAGTCCGAGCTTGCTTTTCAGGCAGCGGTCAGGGTTTAGGGTGTAGGGATCCTTTCAAGGAACCTTTTGGGTTCCTATCAGGGATCTACTAGGGTACTCCCTGAACCCTAAACCTTAAACCCCTAAACTATAGAGTTTAGGGATTAAGGTTTAGGGGTTGGCGGTCAGGGTTTAGGGTTTTTAGAGTTACTTGAACGCTGGACAAGCTCGCTTCCTACATCTAGCGAAGCCCAACATAGCTTTGAAAGAGTGCGCAAATGAACGAAGCATATAGGCACGGTATGCTAAGTTGTTCGACATTAAAAAACAAAAAGTGGACAGTAGAGAGATTTGAGCATACCAGAAGTTTGCAAAGACAACCAAGCGGTGCGCTGGTGCACCGTGGCTTTTCCCTTGAAGGCCTCGCTAAGCAACGCGTAGCTTCTAAAACGTTAGAGTTTGCGGCATAGGCTTAGGCATCGTGGGTTTAGGGTTCATGGGTTTAGGGAACATGGGTTTAGGGTTTACTTGGGAAAGTTTTTAGTCTTTAGATTCCAAAGCCAAAACCCAGGACTCAGACTAAGAAGTTTGGACATTCAGCCTTGAATCTTACAGTTACATCCCCGGCCCTAACCTCTGACCGACCCTCGCAACCCTTCTTCGCACCTTTACAAACCCCATACAGCACCAGAAAGCTTCTGTTCTAGAAGGAACCTGTAACGACGGGGAAGGCGCCCTTGAAGAAACTGTTGAAGAATTGCTATGGGGAGCAAAACAGCACCTAAGAGCCGTTCAAGGAACCCCTTTTGTTGGCGAATTCCTCAGAAACGCTGTCCCCAAAACCCCGACACCCAAAGCCCTGAAACAATTCCATACACCCAGACCGGCTCGGAAAGTGGCTCTACAGCACCTCCGGATCCTCGGCGTAAGGTTTAGGGTTTGGGGTTTCTCTCACGTCTAAGTGGTTGTTTTTTAGTGGTTCAGGGTTCGCACAGGGGCTTATCTAACCCTAAACCCTAAGCCCTAAACCTTTAAACCCTAAACCTTAAACCCTAAAACCCTAACCCCTGTTTCTGTAGGGGTTTGGGGGGTCTCCTACAAGCGCTGCCTCAGGGCTCTTTACTGCTAACCCCTCATCTGGACATGAAGCCTTCCAACCCTACCTGGACCCTTAAAAAAGCCTGCTTTTTTAGGGTTCCCTATTATGATTTCCTGATACAAGTCCTTCAAAATTTAGGTTTCTTGGGGTCCAACCCTAGATCCTGAACGCCAAACACTAAACTAGATTCTCCCCAAACCCTACAGAGTAGTAGGTTATGACCCCTCAATTAGAGGGTAGAACCCCTAAAACGGTAGGTTTCCGGATCCCAAGGTAAAGCTTCTATCAGGGCCGATGGTTTTGGGCGTAGACGTCTGCGATGTGCTTTGTTTGGGGGTTCAGGGGTTCAGGGCTGGGGTTGCGTTTAGGGTGTAGGGTTTAGGGTTTAGGGTTTACGGTTTAGGGTTTAGGGTTTAGGGTTTAGGGTTTAGGGTTTAGGGCTTAGGGTTTAGGGTTTAGGGTTTAGGGTTTAGGGTGTAGGGTTTAGGGCCGGATGTTGTGGGTTTACAGCACGGTTTTAGGTTTCAGTTTAAGGGTGTCGGGTTTAGGATTTAGACTGAGTTTAGGGATTTAGCTGTAGGGTTAGCTTTTTGGGTTCGCGCCTGTATTGGAGCCGCTGTTGTTTTGCTAGGTATCGATTTGGGATCATCTCCATTTTCGTTTGCTGCAGCATATAGAGCCCTACGCATAGTCAAATTTGAGGACTGTTGAAAGCGACACCTACCCAGAGGCTCCATATATCCATATACTCATACACACACACACACCCTAACTACTATTATGGAATTTGGTCCCTATTTCCACAATGAGACCGGTCTTTTTTGAACCAAATTCCAGAATGATATTATATAAGGAGCCTCTAGGCTAGTATGAGGTTTAGGGTTTTAGCCTGAGGCCTTGGCATTGAAGATTGTAGTCGTTTAGATGAGGCACAGTCTATCATGTACTTGTGCACAGGTCTAGGGTTTACGCTTTGGGGTTCAGGGTTTTGGTTCATGGGCGCTTATACACAAGGCTTGTCATCACAGTTTCAAGTAGGTATGAGAAGAGCTACCCAGCCCTACCCCCGAAGACCCCTCAACCCGAAAGCAACAGGCACGCGACGTTGCTGTTTAGATCCTGTGAGATTTGTCAACAAGAGAGCACTTGAGTAGGTTGGGGTTTAGGGTTTAAATTCCGTACTGGCAAGATACCTATGCCGAACCCCGATATTTAAAACCCTAAACAATGAAGCCGTATTCCAAAGCCTCAAGCATAAAGGCGCTGTTCGATCCTTCAGCTTTGGGCGTGTGCCCAGGAGGTAGCAGAGGCCCTTCAGTGGCTCACGGCGCAGCTCACACCACTGCAAGGGGAGGCCAGCCAATTTCAGGTCTACATGGTTTCATGAAGGTTCCGCAAGGGTTTTGCAGAGGTTCTACAAGGCTGTTACGGGGGTTGTACTATAGGGGCCGAATAATTGCCACTAGTATTCCCAGGGTTCCTTATTATAGTGAGAGTATAACGGGCCCCCAAACTCTATTCTAATTATCAAGGCCCCTATAACGGGTTCAGGGCTTCGGTGAGTGTTGCAGTTGAGGAAGTTTAGGTTTCTAGGCTTCAGGGCTATTGGAGGTTGTGGTTTAGGGTTTAAGGGTTTAGAGTTTACGGTTTTTTTTAGTTTTTTTCGGGTTTTGGGGTTTAGGGTTTGGGGGTTTAGGGGTTCGGGGTTTATGGTTTAGGGTGCAGGGTTTGAGGCATTAGAGTTTACACTTAGTAGACATCCAGAAGCCCAAAGCCCCCCAGCATCTTTGCACAACTCTGTTAACATCTACGACAACACAGACGTACTTAGAGGATCGTGGGACTTAGTATTTATGGTTATAATTGAGGTAACTGTACTTATAACTACTTGTATCACCACTTAGGGTACTTATCACCTTACCTAAACCCTAAACCCTAAAGCCTAAACCCTTATAACCTTACCTACCAAGTCCCATGAGCGGTCAGATTGCGGCTTCGGTGTCAAGGGTTCAGGATTTAGGGCTCCGGGCTTGCAGTTTTGAGTTGAAGCTTTAGGCCGTTACGTGTTTCTGGGTGGTTGTCAAAACTGTTGTCCTTTTTTGGGTCCCCCTAATATAATACGGCACCTATTACTTAGAGTACTCAAAACGGGACCCTAATTTTGACAACCACCCATATGGCCTAGATTTGAGACTAGACTTTCGAATTGGGGGGTTAATGTAGGTGCTATACAGATTAGAGCGAGCTCGTACAGTGAGTCCTAACGCTTGCCAACTCGCATCAAGCCATGAAAACCCTTATCAGGCGTCACTCTACTGATAGCCTCACTGACGTAGCCCCCTGATCCTTCAAGTACGGTGACCTACTTCTGAGTGGCAGCCTAATAAGGCTATAGCCCACAAATGACACGCACGGCTGAGTTGAACCCAGAGACTCCAAAACCCCTCAATTATAAGGAATAGACCTTCAATTATAATGGGATCCCTGTAATATGATTTAAGGTATATTCCTTGATTAAGGGGTTTGGGAGTCTCTGGGAAGCTCTAGGCCATGCAGCCTTTCTTCGATCCTGTTCGACTCACAGAGCCCGACCGACTGACTGACTGACTGACTGCCTCTAACTCATTTTCCCTGGCCCAGAAACTGTAAGTCCTAAACCCAAAACTAAATCCTACACCCTAAACCCTAAACCCCAAATTGTGGCCGTGTAGACGTGGCGCTTCCTAGAGCCGGTCTTAGAAGACCGATGGTTGGCAACCATCACCCTGACCCCCACGCCACAGCACCAAGAACCCAACAGGGTTTAGGGTTTAGGGTTTAGGGTTTAGGGTTTAGGGTTTAGGGTTTAGGGTTCCCAACAGCCTCGCTCTACAGGTGGGGGCAAGTTTGCTTGTTGGAAGCCCTGGCTGTGCAATGTGGTCGTTTATGTGTCGAACTGCGAAGGGAAGCAGAGAGCAGGAAGACCCCCTCGAAGCTGGCTTGGGGGGTGAACCCTAAACCCGAATTGAGAATACTAGGGGTGGTTGGGGCGGGACTACATGCTGATGCAGGCGCGCGATAAGTGGGCGCACCCCCATTTCTGCAACAGCGCGCCCACCGAGCGCATACTGTTACACACCCTAAACCCCATACCCTAAACCGAACCCTAAAGCTGAAACCCGGAACCCTAAACCCTACAAAAAAAACCCTGACCCTGGACGCGAATTCCTAAACCCCCACACCCCGGACCCGTAAGTCTCGTTTAAGGAAGCCCCCAACAGCCCATGTTTTTTAGGCGGACGCAGAAGCGCTCCGGGAGGTTGCAGCCGTCCTCCTTGGCCACTCTTTTGAGGTTTCAAGGCTTTTCAGGGTTTGGGCTTTCAGGTTTGGAGATTTTAAGGGTTTAGGGTTTATGGCTTCAAAGCTCTAGTTAAGGTGTTTCAAGGTTGTTAAGCTACGGCATGTGGTTACAGTTTCTAGGGTTTTAAGGTTTCTTTAAGGGTTTTCAATGTTTTAATGCGTTGGGGTGGTACGGTTGATGATATAAATCCTGCATTACCTTAAGGACCCTAAACTATGGGAATTATTGTATATTCCCCATTATGGGTCATGCAGGATTTATATCATCAACCGTATGGTTTCACGTTTTAGGGTCTTACTCTTGTCGAGTTTGGGTGTGAGGTTGTGGCCTTTGGGCTGGGACTCGAGGGCTTTTAGGGTTTAGGGTTTAGGGTTTAGGGTTTGGCTTTATGTGGGCTTCATAATGGTTCTACGTCTGCGTGTCGTTTTCGTGCAGACGGGGGTGGGGGGTGGCTGGGTGGTGGAGTTCCGTAAGGGCTTGAGGGCTTAGCGGTTACTGTAGGGGCTTTGAGGTTCAGAGGTGTTGACGAGCTTGTTCCCGACAGATCCTTCATCGGTCCCATTGTGCGCTGTGTGAACCTGTATGGGCATACTTCGAGTAGAAGAAGGTCACTGTGTTGTCAGATGTACGCCGAATCTTGCATGTTGCCATTTAGTTGAGCTGGGGGTTCGGGGCCGACAGAAATGCTGACAACGACGATGGCAACGACGACGAGGGTGATGCGTCTGATGATGACGAGGATGAGGGTGAGGATGAGGATGAAGATGATGGTGTGGAAGCCCAAGATGGCCGTGATGATGGGAGATTCCTACCAGCTTTCGTTGGTCCATTTTTGGAATTCGTGGCTAGGGGCTAGTCGGCTAGTCTATGATACTTTTCGAGATCCCACCTTAGATGCATGTTTTGTGGTGTGGGGCACTGCCCACACAAGCCCAACCTTGAAGATTCTTCACCAAACTCTGAACAGTAATGAGGCTCCTTCAGTCCCAATTCCTCAAGAATCAAATCCTGCGCTTAGACCTTAGTCTAGGGTTTAGGGCTTAGGGTTCTTACACCTTAACTCGATACAACCCCCAAACCCAGGGCCTCGAACTATAGCCCAGATAGAACGCTGGTACGGCCCCTCTAGAGCCCTTGCAGCACTCCTGTCGACTGTGTAGTATCCTTATGGAACCCAGTGCAGAAACATGGAGAACCCTGGGAGCACCGCTATACTTGGAGGATCATGGGACTTAGTAAGTATGGTTATAAGTACCTTAAGTGGGGTTGTAAGTGGTTATAAGTATAGTTACCTTAACTATTATAACCCTAGTTACTAAGTCCCACGATCTGCGTAGGTATATAGACGGACTTCGAAACAAGAAACCCTAAACCCTAAACCCTAAACCCTAAACCCTAAACCCTAAACCCTAAACCCCAAACCTGGTTCCACAGGCTCATCCTGGAAAGGAGTTCTGGCTTCTGGACTAGCTGTGGGCAGTCGGGCTCTATAAGGGTTCCTTTAAAGGGATCTATAAGGGATCTATAAAAGGTTTAGGGTTTAGGGTAGGACCCTGATTAAGAATCCTTGGGCGCATAAAATTGAACGAAACCTGGTTTAGGGTTTGGGCTTTTGGGTTGCGAAGACCCTTCAAGCCATCTCAGGTGATGGTCTGGAGCCCACACTGGAGGCATTAGAGGGCTTAGGGGTTTAGGGTTCAGGCGTTTAAGGTTTAGGCCTTAAGGTTTGGTGTTTAGGGGTTTAGGCGAACAGGGATACAGGGGTTCAGCGTTTTCGTTAGGGCCGGTCTGATTCCGTTTGATGGTTTGCTTCGGCCTGTAAAGGGCCATTTTTAAATGGGAACTTAGCGTTTCATGGGTCGGCAGAAAGTAGCATGCAGGATTATGCTACGATTCTGTGTGTCACAGTATTATTGGGCTTTATAGGGTTTGGGGGTTCATGCTGGATACCAGCAGGGGTACAAGCACGCCAGTTCGAGATATATGCAGGGATAGCTATATAGGATAGTTTTCCCGACTTGTTTGTTTCCCCTCATGCTTCGAGTGGTTAAGGGTTAGGGTTGGGTTTAGGGTTTAGGGTGGAGGTTGAAGGGTCTTACCCCAACCCCGGCGAAGCTGGTCAACAGGTCCTCCGCGCGGAGGGAGTGCCGGAAGAAGTGCTGCAGGGGTTCGAGCCACTCTGCCTGTGACTAAAGTGAGTAAAAGGGTTTTTGGGGTTTCTTTCTTAGGTCCGGGATTGGGACCTAAACTAGCATGTGTACTGACTTCAAGATTTCTGAAACAATGGGCCTGGTATGGGGTTTTGGGATTAAGTTTCGGGCTTTGGGGTTTACGGCTCTGCTTCTGGCACGGGTAGGTTTAGAAATGGAAACCGTGTAGCTCCAGGGTTTCAGTGGTGGTGGACTAACATCCAGGAGGTGCGCAATATGCGCAATATGGGTGTCTAGCTTTTTGGTTTGGGTCGAGGTGTCGTCTACTTCCAAGACTCGCTCCATATTCGCAATGCATGCCTAAACCCAAAACCCAAAACCCTTATAGCTTATAAACCCTAAACCCTAAACCCTCAATGATTTTAGCAGGGTTTCGGTGCAGAACTTAGCAGCGAAACAGCCTTGTTCATAGACACGCACATAACACGTACATACATACATACGTTCATGTATACACACGTACATACATACTTATAGGATACACACAGAATACATCTATATGTATATATATATATATATGCTCGCCCCCCCCCCAAGATCTACGTCTGCAGGTTTCCGGAGTCTGGATTTCCTGATTTCCGGCTTTCTGCAGTACGTAGGTTTCCAGATTCCAGATTTGCAGTCACTATGTTTCCAGAGATTCCAGATTCCAGATTTCCAGATTTGCAGGCTGTAAGTTTCCAGATTCCAGATTTCCAGATTTGCAGGCTCTAAGTTTCCAGATTCCAGATTCCAGATTTCCAGATTTGCAGGCTCTAGGTTTCCAGATTCCAGATTCCAGATTTCCAGATTTGCTCACCCTAAGGTTTCCAGATTTCCAGAAATCTGGAATCTGGAATCTGGAAACCTAGAGCCTGCAAATCTGGAAATCTGGAATCTGGAATCTGGAAACTTAGAGCCTGCAAATCTGGAAATCTGGAATCTGGAATCTGGAAACTTAGAGCCTGCAAATCTGGAAATCTGGAATCTGGAAACCTAGAGCCTGCAAATCTGGAAATCTGGAATCTGGAAACTTAGAGCCTGCAAATCTGGAAATCTGGAATCTGGAATCTGGAAACTGGAAACTTAGAGCCTGCAAATCTGGAATCTGGAATCTGAAAACTTAGAGCCTGCAAATCTGGAAATCTGGAATCTGGAACTTATCCTGCAAATCTGGAATCTGGAAACTCGAAGACGTATAGAAACATGAGCATCAGCCGTGGCCTCATGAGCATCAGTCGGCTTCGGGGCTGGTCCTAAAACCAAAACCGCCTGGTCAGAAATGGTCTTTGAGATTGATCATGGTCAAAAAGAAGTGAATTTGCTTAATGCACCACTCAACAACGAGGTCATGGGGTAGCGGCTTCAGTTATTGCACTGCCAAGCAGCACCGCTGATGCTCATGATGCGCGTGTGTTGTCCGCCCCCAAACTTGCTGATGCTGGTCCTAAAACCAAAACCGTGTGGTCCGTCTCGTTCTCCCACAGCTGAAGTAATGAGCCAGTGAGTGTTTATGAGAGGGTCTATTGAATAGGGACATGTGATATGTGATGGGTGCGCAGCTGTGCACAATCAAGTGTGACTCCAAGCCTATTGAAATCTTGCAGCACACGACGCCATGGAAATCCACCCGGACGAGGTGCGGTTCAATCAAGCAAAGGAGGCAACTACGGATATGGTCCTACGTGAGATGCATGAACACGTGTGTGTGGGTCCAATGCCAGTAGGGGTGATTAACATCACAAATCTTCCGATGCGAGAGCTGCTCGAATGAATGTATGTGTTTGGTGTTGTTTTTTGTTGTTGTTCTTTTACTGGGGGATGGCGAGCTACAGTAACGTTTGTATATGCGCATATACGCGGTATGGTATGTAGATATGATTGTCGAAGTACATGCCAAGGCTATCCGATACAGCTAAAAGTCTCAAACACTTCATCGACATCGTGCATGATGCGACCCCCGAAGATATTGACCGAGAACAAGTCAAGGCGATCCTCAAGTCGAAGAATTTTCACGAGCTGCCGGAACCAATGCGGTTGAAAAAAATCCCCCCCTTCGAGTATAAATCACAGTATTTCCTCATTCCGCAACTCAACGGCAAGATTACCGTCCTGACGCACTACGTCCTTGGCCAAACCAAAACCTCCGGGGCCGTTGTCACTAACCCGGGGTACAGGCTATGAGATCGCTTGGGGCAGTGGGAACAAAGTCGCGGAACGCAAAGCTCTGCAATGGATGTTGGAGCAAATGGGCGGTACTCAATATAGATACTTTTCACTCTCAAGTGAGAGCCTTAGCTAATGGTTTGTTTTTTTGTATATGTAAACAAACCTGATGTTGTGTGGTTTGTTCATTCAGAAAAAGAGTGACTCAGTGGTATATCTACACATAAACATAACAAGCATAAAGGAAGAAACGACCCGCTTCATCATCGGTCTTGAGCATATCGAATGACGAGGAGCAGGATGCAGGATGGGATTTCATCATCAACGAAGGGGAGCGGGACAAGGGTGAGTTGAGGCAACTTCGTTGGATTCACAGGCACATCAATCGGGAAGGCTCGCCGATCAAGGGATGGCCCGAAAAGCTTGTTCAGCGAGCCCTTGACAGCCTTGCTAACGACGGGTGTTTGGCTTCACTGACCACCAGGTACGACCTCACCAGGCAGGATTTCGAGCCAGTGTTCGTGCAGGGTGTCATGGAAACGGTAGTCCCATACCTACTGGATCACAGTTTGTGGCTTTTGGGCGAACCGGGGAAGGGCAAAACGCCACTGGCACGCACGCTCGCCATGGCATTCAGCAGATACCACGGCGGCAAAGGCTCATTCAGAAGCTCATCGGATTTCGATTTCTTCCGAGGGTTGCCTTTCAACAAAACTATTCCGGCATTGTACGACGATGGGGACATTTCGGACGAATCAATCAAGAAAAAGAAGGCGTTTTGTGATGTAGGCGATACGGAAGGCATTCTCAAAGAACGCTGGACGGCCGCAAAGTTCACGAAGCACCAACTCCGCATCATCATCGACAACTCGTACAACGACAAGGACATCCCCAGCATGCCGCAGCAGGAAATTGACCACCATGATTTCATCAGCATCGTCCGTCCAGCGATCGGCCATATCTCCGATGCAGACACTCGTGCTATCCTCAAACGCAGTGTGTTCATAGTCTTCGGCCGCGACTCCATATTCATTCGACTCCCCTCCGAACGGGTTACAAGTGTCACTCGATTCCGATGGCATTTGAAGGACATTCTTTCGGATGAGAGCAAGCCCCGGTTCTCCAATTACAAGCTTGATGGTCCGGTGCCCCCCGACTACCAGAACAGGGTCGACACAGAGCAAGCTTGGCTACATGAAGCTATTCGCCGTCATCAAGCCGTGAACACCGTAGAGCAGCACAACAACATGCCCGGCCCCAACGCCCCACCACCAGGGGTCAGAATCAAGATGGAGCCCGATGAATTTGCAGACGCAAACGAAGGACTCGCAAACATGTGCAACGGGGAGGCGCTAAGTGCAGACAGTCCAGAGCCTCCTGCCCCAAAGACCCCACCCAGCAAAGTCAAGCAAGAGCAGCAAGAGCAATTCGATCAGTCATACGCGCGCTTTCTTCTTGCGAGTTCTGCCTTCAGCCGTGCCTTGGGCCCCAGTGGTGTCATTGAGCTCTCTCCCTCAACATCCGTGCATCGCAGCAGTCAAGCCTCGCATGTTACAGAAACCCAAGCGGATATTCCCAACCCATTGTTTCCCGGAGTGGATGACGACGACGACGGCGTCGATGAAATGGACGTGGCATCGGGGGAGGAAGAATCTCTCTTTGGGGTTGCCAAGGATGACGATGATGATGAGGATGCGGGTGTGCTCGGACATGGCGGGTCTTTGGATGACGAGAGCTAAATTTCGTGTACAGTGTGGGAATGGGGAAAGCCGGGAGCCAATATTGGTGTTTGAATCAAATGAGTTTATTAAAGTTGGTTTGCTTGCTGTGTGTTAGGTTAGGTCGTATAGATGTTATACCCAAAGATTGATGCTCCGAGAAATGGCGCGCAGCCATACAGCCGGCTAGTTTTGAGGATTTGTGTAGCACACGTGACAAGATGCCGAAGCACGAACGTGAAAAATTGAGATTGCTGCAAACATACTGCGATGCCTCATGTGTCATGATGTGTCATGTCGGAGCCCACTCATTCGAGACTTGATTTGTTTGCACGGCTTCAACATTAAGTCAGTGAGTATTTTCCTTTTTGCGATTAACACTTTTCGCAAGATGCCAAAAAGTGTAAAGAAGGCGATGAAATCGCCACCATTCCCTTGTCCGAAACGTGGCAAGCAGCGTGTACAGAAGCGAGCCATGAAGCAGAAGTATGTGCAGGTACCGTATGTTCGGCATGGAATCCAGACAACCAAGAACAAAGGGCATCGTGATCGATGGGGTCTTTCAGTGCACACACTGTTGTCCATGACCGGTCGCAGTCTAATCCGAAAGCTCGTCACGGACAAGATCCTTCCCAATTGGTCTGGTCATGACTGTCCTCGGTGTGGTCATGGTACTTTGGGTTCGTTGTCGTATGTCAAATCCAAGAAAGTATGGGGGTACAGATGCGGCCATCGTGGATGCAACAAGCTACTCTTGGCCCATGACTTCCACCCGATCTTTTTCAAGGGCAGCGGGAATTCCATCACAGATCTTGGTCATCAAGCTGCGGCACTTTATTGTGCGGTTGCAGGCGTTTCCTCACAATCTGCGCATCTCATCCTCGACCTTGACCATAAAGCCGTAGAGCGGGTCTACACAAATGTCGACACATCTCGAGCTCGTTATGTTCAGTTGAAGGAGAAGGAAATCCGTTACGGAGGCAAGTGGGAGGACGTAGAGGTTGACGAAGTGGATGTGGGAAAGCTCACGGACAACACTACAACAAGCACAAAGAATACGGTTTGGGAACAGTGGGGAGGTTTGGTTGAACGCGGGCGACCCTCTTCGTTGAAGTTGTTTCGTTTGCATCCCGCAAAAACCGTCAAACGAGCACCAGGCCCAGGAGCTATGAGGAAGAGGGAGTGGAAACCCATCGCCACCAAACATCTTGCCAACAGGAAGGTTGTCCTCCATAGCGATGGCGCCCGTGCCTACAAGCTCAAGGTTCCCGGTGTGATGCATTGCAACGTGATTCACAAGAAGAAAAAAGTCAAAGTGGATGGGAAGGCCGGTCGTTATGCTGTCATTTGGGTTTTTATTTTGTTGTAACAAATGTAACAACCAGATAACCGCGAAAATCACTACAGGTTCGATGGGTGAAGCCGCACTACACGAAGGTTTACTCCCTCAAGATGCCCACCGGAGACCAGATGAAAGTCAAGAGTGGCACTCAAATTATCGACCGTTTTTGGGGCTTGTTGCGGTCCCACATTAAGCACACCGCCCGCACCCCCGGTAGCCCCATTCTCACCCGAAAGATCCGCTCAGCTCAGTTTGAGTACTGGTTTAGCCGGTGCAATATGTGGAAGGCTACCGGCAAAATGCTGGACACCTTGTTTACGGAGTCGTGACAGAGAATGCTTCGAACCTAGTTTTGGCTCAGTTTTGGCAGATGTAGCAGTGTAGCAATCTGACGTGTGAACATGCGTGAGTGCAGCCCTCAAGCGCCGAAAGAATTGCACAGTGCCCGTGATGTGCGATTATTGCTTGTTGACGCCTCAAAAATGCAAAAAACATGGGGTTTTTTAATACCACAACAAAAATCGGGTACTACCTTCCAGCAGTTTCGGCTTTCCGAATACATAAAGTAGTATTTCTGGTGGCCGAAAATCGGCCGCATATTAATCGATGTATCGGAGCAAGATGCGTAGCAGCACAGTTGTGTGTATTCTACGATAGCAGCGATTATACCGATATTTACGGTGTTTTCTGTACTAAGGACTCGTGCACACGTGTCTGTAGTTAAACACAAGATGGTATGCACAGTGCAAGCGTAGATCTTGGGGGGGGGGGGTGACCATATATATATATATATATATATATATATATATATTGTATTTTCTCATATACATATACATATGCATTTGCCTACGCATATGCATATGCACATGCACGCACCTATACATATAACTTAAATTACACCTACATTGACCTACAGCTACACATACACCAAAACCTACACCTAGACCAATGCCTTTACGCGTACCGTACCATCGGCCATACATGTGTGTATATACATATATAACCTTGTATGTGTATATATATATATATATATATATACACAGTATATATATATATATATATATATATATATATATACATATACACACATATATATATATATAGATAGATATATATATATATATATATATATATATATATATATATATATATATATATCGTTCATGTACACACACACACACACACATATAGATATACAGAGAGAGAGGGAGAGAGAAGGAGAGAGGGAGACAACAAGAGAGGGAGAGAGGGAGAGAGGGAGAGAGGGAGAGAGGGAGAGAGGGAGAGACACACACACACACACACAGACACAGACAGACAGAGACACAAGGAAGGAGAGAGGGAGAGAGAGAGGGAGAGGGAGAGAGAGAGGGAGAGAGAGAGAGAGAGACAGAGAGAGAGAGAGAGAGAGAGACAGAGAGAGAGAGAGAGAGAGAGAGGAGAGAGAGAGAGAGAGGAGAGAGAGAGAGGGAGAGAGAGAGAGGGAGAGAGAGAAAGAGAGAAGGAGAGAGAGCGAGAGAGACAGACGGACGAGAGAGACGAAAGAGGAGAGCGAGCTCGAGCGTTTGTATGCAGCCCTGCCCCATACATTCCGACACCTGAAAACACAGGGCGCTTTGCTGCGGCATCCATGTGGACGGTGCATGAGCTGGATTTTAATGCAATTTTGGGGGTAGCGGGGCTCAAAGTTTCAGGAGAGACCCCTAAAGGCTCTCGGCCCATGTGCTGGCACCTTCTGCAAGGAGGCCATGATTGAGGCCAGAAGTCTGTACAGCCCTAAACCCGAAACCCTAAACCCCAATCGGTGTACAGATTTTACCATGAGTTTCGTTCCGAGCAAAGGAAGCCAAACGGGAGTATCAGATCAGCTCGGACCCCACCATAGTGCCACAGAATCCCATCGGAAAGAGTTTTTAATAATCAGGACCTTTACACGGCACCCCTTGTTTTCTCAACTCGCCGCCTCACATAATCTTGTTATGTCGCGGCAAGCAGCATAAACCTTAGTTGTTGTTTCACTCTTCCACGCGGGTAGTTCTCTAAACTAGGGTCCCTGCTAGGATCCATCTATTTTCATAAGGGTGGCGAACTATTTTGGTGAGCTAAACAAGGAACCTAATTTGGGGAACTACCCGCATACCTCCGCAAAGCCCGGTTGTTAATGACAGCAGTCACTTCTACACGCAGGGTAAAGGGTCTCGCACGAGTAGGATCCTGAAGAAAGACACAACCAATTGACAACAACATCCCCTCAAGTATAGTAGTCACTGTTAATACAACCCGCCACTTACCCCAAATAAACGGCCCATTCTACCATGACGGCCGCTTGTTGAACCTCAAACCTTAAACCCTAAAGACCCTTTAACATAAAACCCCCAGGAACGAAACCTTATTGACACCCTCAAAGCCCGAACCCTAAACTGCGCTGAGCCGCAAGCCCTAACCTAAACCCTGCTACACCTACGCGATCTGGTCCTGTTGGCTTCTTTCTCGGGCAGTCGTGTACAGAGTGAGCACCGTCGCATTGCGCGGAGCCAAGAAGTAGTGTTCCCGGCGGGGGTTTAGGGTCTGTGGCTCAGGGATTTAGGGATATAGGATTCAGGGCTGCCGAGGTTAATTAGGCCAGGGTTGATGGCGGAGCTTGTTGGGTTCTTCGTGTTTCCGCATTGTTCTGGACCACACGCCCCAAAGCCCAAAACCACAAAGAAGCCTGAACCCAAACCCTACACCGTAAGCCCCAAACCCTAAACCGCTTCTTCTCAAACCTACACCCTAACTCCGGGAATCCCCAACCATGTACCGCGTGGTAGGGCTTTGGGAGATTCTACATTTGCTGTTATTGGGCTTACGAAGATCTTACCTACTAATGTTTTTCAAACGCTTTAAAGCGCCTCCTAGACAGTGTTTTCCCTAAACCCTAAACCCTCCCTGCTTTCGCAGGGCGAGGATGGAGGCCTTCCTTGATAGTTTAACTAGGACTTAGGGCTTTGAGGTTTAAGTTTCAGGTTCTAGTGTCTTAAGGGACCATACCAGGGCCACCAGGGCTTCCGTGAGGAAACCCTAAAGCCGTAAACTTTAACTACTGAGACCTTGTAAGGACTCCGCCCGGCAGTTGCTGATGCGAGCGGCCGGCGAGGCCTCCTCACACTCCACAGGGGCTCCTTCAAGGGTCCAAGGGACCTATAAGGTAGAAGCCAGAAAGTTGGAATATGATTATCCTAACCCTTCTATGGTAAATTATAGTGTATCCTACCATGAAACCATATTCCAACTTTCTGGAGTTCCCTGTAAGGGTTCTTCTACTGTTTCTATACAGGGTTCCATGCGGTTTCGACAAGGGTCCTGTGAGAGTTGAGGGTTGGGGGTCTAGGATTTGGGCTTTGCGAGTTCAAAGTCCAAGGCTTTTGAAGTTAGAGGGGTTTCGGGGCATTCACGGTACATTGTTTGGAGGGAAAGTTTGGGGTTTCAAGGTCAAGCGTTTAGGATTGAGGATTGCAGTGTGGCATGGGGTCTTTAGCCTGCTGAACTGCTGTGTCATTTTGGAAACTCTCTTTTTTCATCTTAGTTCTCCAATACCAAACTTTAAAACTTTTGGGGTTCTTCTAGTTTAGTAGTAATCTGAAGGTTTAACCTTTTATTTCTGTGGCTATTGGGGGGGGTAAGTCATGCCAGGCTCGAATGGTTCTAAACTCAGAAACAGTAGGCTACAGCTACATGTAATTGGGCAAGTACGATTGTCTCTGCTTTCAAACTACTTCATGATTTTTCTTCGCTTGAACATGATCATGAACCAATGACCCCTCCTGAAACCATCTAGGGTTCAGAGTTTCGGGTTTATGGTTTGGAATTTGAAGGTTGAGAGTTTCGGGACTGGGATTTAGGCCTGAGCCCACCGATCGTGAGGTTGGAGGTCTCTAGTGTTCATCCGGGTGAGTTCCTGAACAATCAGGCTTTTACGCGGCCGTTAACGCGTGCTGTATAAGGACCCTTGTCTTTTCTGAAACCGGGCATACTTGGAGGATCATGGGCTACCCATTATACACAAAAGTCACCATCGTCATACCCACTGGTAGACTTATAACCCTATCAACAGCTGCCCATGCACCTCCAAAAGCTCAGGCAGACCTCGACGGAACCGGCCGTAGACCCCAAAATCCCAACCCCAAACCCAGCACAAAAAGCTGGTAAACCATGAAGCTTGCCGTGTAAAGCGTGTATCTCAGGCCTAACAGCCAAGAACAGCGCCTTTTCTGAAACCCAATCTTCCAAGCCTAAACCTGCTGCATTCAGAAAATGTGGTATTCTTACGAAGAGTACCCCTGCGATCCCTATTGCACGGATACCCAGAACATGTCTCCTAACTTTTCGCCAACACCAAGACCTGTACCGCCCTGAATCCAAATACTTAGTAGTCGATAGGTAACCTTGAACCTTTTTGGGGTGGTATAGTCCCTATAGAACCAAAAAGGTTAACCTGTAGTTACCCATGATACCTTAGGTACGGCCCCCGTGCAGTAAGAGTCTATGATAGGGCTACTATTAATTCCTATTATATTTATATGATGATGATAATTCAACTATTACTGAGGGGGGGGGCGTACCTACATGATACCCGACAAATAGGAGTACTTCTCCAGGCCCTTTTGTCATCCGGAGGCCGGCGCCTCGTTTCTCTGGAGGGTTTAGGGTTTCGGGTTTAGGGGTTTAGGGGTTTAGGGTTTAGGGTTTAGGGTTTAAGGTTTGGGGTTTAGGGTTTAGGGTTTATGGGTTATGGGTTTAGGGTTTAGGGTTCAGCAGCTCTGACTTTGAACAATTCTTGTCAAGCTATCTTCCAGAAGAAACCCCACCCGCCCACAGAATCCGCTCACATTAGAATTAACGGTTTCATTTCTTTCAGCTTGAAGTTAATTAACAATCTGTTACATACTACAAAAAAATTAACTGTAGTTGCAACCATGCCTCCTTTGAAGTAAGTATTAGACAGTTGTTCACCCACATATTGATGCTAATGCTTCGCAGGATATATCACTACACAACAGACATCTTCCATACACCTTCCGAGGTCAATACAATTGAGGCCAATACCAGATAACTGTCGGCTACTTGTCAGTGCTTGTTTCAACTTGCATTCAATACATAGGCTTTTGCATACCTTGGCACAGGCTAAACCCTACAAGGAATGTGTTGTAACTACCCATAGCCCATAGCTTAGAACTGCAAAACCAAGCTGACAACCAAACCTGAATGTTGACCCTAAACCCTAAACCCTAAACCCTAAACCCTAAACCCTAAACCCTAAACCCTAAACAGAGCGTGGTTGAACCGAAAACTTCGATTCAGTTCTCGGTCTTGCGAAAGGGGGTGATGGTTCGCGGATGCCTGTGGTAAGTTTTTGTGTTGGCAAATGCCGCGGTGATGGATCGTGGATGCTTGTGGTAAGGTTTTTGTCTTGGCAAGTGCTTGTGGCAAAGTTTTTATCTTGGCAAATGCCGTCCCTGCCCTGCCCTGCCCCGCCCTGCCCTGGATCTTACAATTTAGGGTCTAGGGGTTTACGGCTCAGGGGGGTTCTTAGCGTCTGGGGGTTTGGAGCTTGGATAAACAAACACAAACCCGTATGCGACCTTATGGAAACCCTTTAAAGACCCGACCACGCCGTGTACATGCTTGTATAAAACCGGTATACGATCCCAGACGGCACTTGAGAACTCCCATCAGACGCTCTGCAAACAGGATAAAGCATGGTTGAAACGCCTTTGACATTAGTGTAAAACGCCAAGGAAATACGGGTAGAACCGCACAAAACCCCTTGCAAAACCCTTCGGACACCAGTAACATGATACAATCCCCCACTTTCTGCGCAGACTCGAGAAAAGCTTGCAACACCGTACAAAGCCCCTACCTAGAGGCTCCGCAGTAGTTCCTTTTTTTGGTTTGTATTTAGGATCCTGTAAGGTAAGCCCAAAAAGGAACTAATGTTGGATCCAGATTAACAACCCCCCCCCCCCCCGCTGTCAAGGTTAGCCCGCTTGAACTTGTTCATGGGTTCAATTTTTTCCCGGCCCCCCCGATTATGTGGGGATGGGGTAATTATTAAGTATAGTAGTAAGTAGATAGAGAGTACTTAGTAAAGTATTGCAGTCGTACAATAGGAGTACAGTAGTATAGTAGTAGTACAGTGGTATAGTAGTAGTACAGTAGTATAGTAGTATTACAGTAGTATAGTAGTAGTACAGTAGTACAGTAGTACAGTAGTAGTACAGTAGTATAGTAGTATTACAGTAGTATAATAGTAGAACCCCCAAATCCTTACTTCGGGGATTTTCGGGGATGGCCCCGTCTAATCGGGGGGGGTTTAGGCGAGCTCCGGTACTATTAGGGTGGGGTCTAATGGACTTCTTCATTAAGCCCAGGACAGGGGTATCTTAATCTGGAAACGACATTACGTACCATGGAGCCTATGTCATAGGGACCCTTAGGGGGGTAAGGGGGAGGGGGGTAGCGGACTATACTTCCTTAAATAGGCCTAAGTCCGAGTCCTGATTATAACAGGCTTAGTCCTAGACCCTAAACCCTACCCCCCTACGGGTCCGTATGACTATGGGTACAGTGCGAACCTGGTGCCCAGGCGCGCCTGGGCACGAGGAAGA